TAGGAAAACTGAGGCTCCTGAAGCAATTCTGCAAAGGTCAACTGGTCATTAGTAGAACTGGGATTCCAATCCAGCTCAGCCAGCCTCACTTTGCAGTCTCACTAGGCTGAGCCACCAAGATGGGGTGAAAACCTAGTTCCCAGATGAGGATGGAGTGATCTGCTTCTTTGCCCTTTCCTGGGAGATTGGGAAAGGCACAGCTCCCCTCCCTATGTCTTGAGTATACAAGACTATAATTCCCCTACCCCCACCCCTGGCCTGGGATAAATGTGGGGATTATCCGTTGCCCTGAAGACCCTATAATTTACTACCACAAAGTCTTCATGTCTAACTTGGGTCTCTTCTTTTACACTGGATTCATCTCTTGTGGAACAGATCAAGGTTCAGATACTGTATCTGACATCTTGTTTCATAGTTCTTCCCTTTCCCTTCTCCCAGCTCTAAACAGCACCAGGGAGTCAGAGCTTAAAGGGTTAACTGGATGCAGGGGTGTTATCTCCAGCTCAGGGCATTCCCTCTGCAAGGTGATCCCAGCTCAGATCTTAAGTTACCTCCTGCCCCAGCCAGTGCATCTGCTGTTGGCTCTGAAGGCCTGCTCTCTATGGAGTGGGGTGGACAGCCCAGGGGAGCACTTCCCTGCTGGGTTTGGGCAAAGGGTAGGGCTCCTGGGAATGCTACTTCCCCACTCCTTGACCCTCATTGTGGCCTCCTTTTCTAACAAGTGGGATCCCTCCTCCTGGTTTCTAAAACAGGATTCTACCAGGTTCATTCATGTTACTGACCTGGTTACCCACCTGGCCCAGCAGGCTTCTTATGAGAACCAAAGCCCGTGTTCATGCTCTTTCTAAAAAGGATAGTGTGCCATCCACCTCCCATGATTCCTTTTTCCCAAGTGCCTATGTAGGAAGCCAAGGTGCCTGATGAGGAACCGAAAACCTACGTTCCTCAGGCCCTCCCCATCACTCTGGGATCTTGAGACCACATGGAATACGCAGGCCTGGTACCACTGGGCTCCAGTGTTACTCTCCTGGCCAAGGAGACAACAGAAGGCTGACAAGAGAAGGAGGCCTCTCCAGGTGTTGTCAAGGTCTTGGCACCTCCCTGCAAGGATGTAGCTGAAGGCCAAGGACAGAGAAGAAGGAGGCAGCATTCAGGTTTCTTACCCCACAAACAACTCAGACCCTGCAGCTCGTCCTGGAGAGAACTGGTCGCCTCTCAAAGTCACCCTCACTGACACTGACATAGATATAGGCATCATGACAGTCCAGACCACACACACCATTCATCAGAATGCCATAAGAAATGACTTATGTGTGGATTTGCATCTGATATTCTATATTTATGGCTCTAGTTGCATGGTGACCCACAGAGAGGAGCACATATACCTTCCTAATGCTAGCCCCCACAGATCTGCGCTTATAACAGTGAATTGCGTGTGACCAATACTATCACATAAAGCCTTGAGCACGTGTGTGCAGACACTCATTCTAGACCAAAAGTACATCTGTCAGAAAGACAGATTAGAGGCTAAGTTCTACCACTGGCTGATGTCCATTCTCATTTGGCATGCTGGCTAACGTTCAAAGTTAAACAAAACAAAAACAAAAACCAACAGGTGACTATGCAGATACCTCTCCATTGGCCCCCTTCTCAGGTGGGAGGTGTCCAATTTGCCAGGTTAACCAGGAAAGATACAATCAGAATCCAAGCTACAGTCACACCTCCCTTGGGTGTTTTCTATTTGTGCTGAACAATGAACATTAGTCAGCTGCTAAACAATGGCGGCATCATGCATGCAGTAATGGGAGCCGACCCTCTGCTCCTCCATCCTGGCCCACTAACTCAGCTGTGGGCACAGCCATGCTGATAGACTACAACTGGGCACACAGGCTAGGCAGACCAGGTGGACTCATTGTGCAAAGCCAAAAAGCTGAGGAGGGAACTGACAGCCTACAACTAGTCTCAGCTTGCATTAGGGAACCAGAGGCTACATGTCCCACAAGTTCCGGAGCTACCTTCTAGGCCACTTCTAGGGCCCAGGCTCTGTAATGTTTCGTCTTCCCTATAGCTTTGACAATAGGCCTTGAATCTGACTCAGAGGCTCTCCACAAGGCTGCCTGACAAACAGGCCTGGAGACTGCCGTGTGTTACACTGCAAGCCTCAGGCTAGCAGAATGATTTTGCCACAGTGCCTGGCCCAGCAAGCCAGAGTGCACTATGGTCTGTGTGAAAAACAGAGAAAAAGAAAAAGAACCCAAGAGCCTGATCCTCGGGGTCTCAAAGGAAAGCACCATAGACAGCAAGCTGTGCACAGGCAGCCAGGGAGGAATGCTGTGACCCAACAGGCCTTTGCACCGTGTGTTTGACACCTAGGGTGTGGGTTCTCTTTCTAGACCAAAGGTGTGGGGAAGCCAATTAGGGAGGGTGTGGCGTAGGTGGGACACCTGCTTCCCAGACAGCTTTGCCTCTACCTCCTCTGGTTCCCATCCCTCTGTGAGTCCCACTGACCCTCTCTAAGTCAGCACTCTAGAAGGTGCCTGTCATCTCAGAAACAAAGGGATGGCCCTCCCCACCCTGCCTGTTCTGTCAGTGGTATGGAAATATACTTGTGTGTGTGTGCATTTCAGATCAGGTGTGTTATGAAGTCAGGGGCCATCATATACACTGGGGGCTCCTCCCTCCTCCCTCCCTCAATCCTCCCAGTCACAGTCCAGGAGAACCCAGAAAAGAGCAGCAGACTGGCAAGTCCCCAGAGAAAAGCAGGAGCTGGAAGAAGCCAAGAAAGGGAGAGGGAGGGACAGAGTGGGGATGAGCTGCCAACTGGGCCTCCCGGCCTCCTCCGTCCAAAAAGCAGACTAGGTGTAGCCATGTCTACAGCAGACCCCCAAAGAAAGCAGGCAGAGGAGGCATCAGGCACATAGGCACTGCCTGGGTCTAGGTGAGTCGGAGAACTTTGGCTGCCTCAGTTGCACCCATCTTCCAGTCACAATTAATCACAGAGCGCTTATTAAATGCCCATCTCAGCTGTGGTTCTGTTCTAGGCATCCTAACCTCCCAATTGGATTTTTGGTGGAGAAGCATCCACTTTGGGCCAGGTGAGTGTCACCTCCCTGTCTCCACCTTCTAAGGGGTGGAACACAGCAGGCCTCTAACTCCCATAGATGGACTTCACCACCCTTCAACCCAAAACTGGGAAAAGAGAGCAACAAATAGAATGGGGTGAGCTTACCATTCCCCAAACCTTCTGGTCCTTTGTCCATCCCAGGATTAAGTTAACCCTTAGTGTGCTAGGAATCCATAGATGTCTAGGCAAGCTTTCCTTGCTCCAGGTTCCAGGTAGAGACATAGAGATGTAAAAGATGCCCAGAAGTCCAACCCATACTGGTCAGATAAGTTCTAAAGGCTGAATTTCTGTGCATCCATTGTTGATGAAGACTTCTCACTGCCATCCAGACCACCCTGGGGGAGGGCTCAGCACTGGCCCTGTGATATGGGCAGTGGCATTTGGGAATTCCCTCTCTGGACACCCAAGAAGACAGTGCTCCTCAACATGCCTGTCTGTGTACCTGCTTTCTTTCCCAAACTGCTTTCCTGGCATCTACCACTGAGCAAGATCTGCGGAACCCCAGCAGCCAGCTGGCTGGCAAGAGAAGGGGACAGGAAAGGAGGACAGTCCATAAAGGAAGTAAAAGAGGCCAGGGTCCTGCCTTCCAGGAGTGCATCCCAGTCACACCTGGACAGTCAGGTAGGCCTCTCCCTAACAAACTGCTTGGTGAGTCTGCAGCATCACCCAGTCTCTGGAAATCCAGGAGGAACTGTCTATATTCCAGCCCCCTATTCTGCTATCCCAAGGTGAGGACCCGAGCTCCAGTCAAGGTTTCCCTAACCCTCCCCTAACACCATCTTTCCAGGGCCAGAGTTCATCTCAGGTTTCTTTCCGGGGACACTTCTACAGAGACACTTCCCCCACCTTGACCCAAATCGGTGTCCTGCTGGCAGCCCAGTTGCTTCCCTTGGGACATAAGGGGTTAAATCCAGGCGAGGGGACTGGTAGGATTTGCCTCCTAAACGCATTTTCCAGTTCATTCCCCAGCACAATATGCCTGGGCCGGTCCCAGCCTCCGCTCCCACCCCACCCGTCAGAACCGGACACCACGGGCCACCTCAGGGTCGGGTGCTGAGTTAACCCCTCATCTGCCGGCAGCTCACACCTCTAGGAAAGACACGCGGAGCACCCTCGGGGCCTCCCGGGAAAGTGGGTCATGCGGCCACCTGGCTGGCATGAAGCCCATGGGGCTTCCTCCGGGGAGAGCCCCCAGCTTTAGTAACGGAGTTCCAAGGCGGAGCCCAGTCCCGCGCAAGGCCGGGGAGTTTGCGATCCCAGGCGGCCCGGCCTCACCCTCCAGAAAAGGAACCGCAGGTGAGCAAGATGCAGCCCCTGCCGCAGGAGCAGGTTCCGAGCGCCCGCTGTGGGGCGATGTGGGGCAAGAGGGGGCCCGAGAGCCCGAAACCCGCTGGCAAGGGGCCGCCAAAAGAAACGAAGCCCCCCCCCCGCTCCAAACCCTCAGCCCACCAGCTCCGAGACTGACGCCCTCCCCCTGGGGCTGTAGTCTCATACCCCGAGACGGTGATTACCGTGATTATTTTGCATTTATGTAACATGCAGTGTTTCCAAACTGCTTCTCGAGCTGAGAACTGGTTATTAAATAAATAGAACGCTATTACATATTATTATTATTGTGAAGAACAGAGCGGAGAAAGTGCTTTCTTGCTACATAGAGACGTGCATCCGACTGCTTCCCTGCAGGGCAGGCTGTTCGCCTTCTCAACCCCTTTCTCCACCGTGCCACCTCCTGCCCCCCCCATCCAAACCGTGACCCAACTTTTCTGGCTCCGTTCACTCCCCGCAACCCAGTCGTGCCCGTCATCCAGCTCCCATCCCGGGGAGGCTCCGGTTGGGTGGGGGGTGGAGGGGGGCAGGCAGAGGTGATTTCGCTTACCTGGGAGGAAGAAGGCGGTCAAGCTGAGAGCCAGTCCCCACCAGCGTCCGGCGGCGCTCGCAAGCCCCATCCGAGCCATCGGGGACCGGGGGTCCGGCGACCGGGGCGGCGAGGAGGGCGCTCCCCGCGCTCCAGAAACCAGCCCGGAAGACTAGGGCGGATCGCTGGCGGCCGGCGGGCGCTCGGAGGATCCAGGTCAGCCGCAGCCGTCGGCCGGGGCGGGGTGGGCTGGGTGGGATCCGCGCGGCCGCAGTCCGGGCCCGGGCTGCAGCCGGCTCAGAGCCTCGGCAGATGCCCGCCGCAAGTTGCACGAGTCATGCCCCCTTCGCCTCCTTCGCTCTCCTCCTCGCGCCGGTCCCCGCCCTCTTCTTCCACGCAGAGTGGGGCTGGGGAGAGGGACCCACCCCCGGCGCGCCCGGCTGCGCGGCGTAGGCTCCAGGCGCTGGGCGCGCTCACACCCTCCCGCTCGGCTCCAACTTGCAGGCGTCCATGGCCGGCCGTCCTCCGAGGGTGGCGGGACGAGCTCAGGCGGCGCAGAGGGCTCGGGGCCCAGGCGGTGGTGCGCGGCTGGAGCGGCCAGCTGTCCGCGGGGTTCGGGGCTGTGGGTCCCGGAGGGGCGAGGAGAGCGAGGCGGATGCTCAGCGCGTCCCCACTGCCGCCGCTCTGCCGGGTGCGGGCGATCCGCAACAATGTGAAGCTGCCTGGGCGCCGGGGCGAGCCGCGCTCACTGCTCCCTCTCTTTCTCTCACTCGCAGAGCTCCAGCCTCACACCCGCTCTCCCGTGATGTCAGCCGGGGGGGAGGGGTTAGCGTTAACCCCCTCCTGGCTCCCACGCGCCCGGCCTAGCCCGGCCCGGCCCTCGCACGCACGTCGGCACCTCGGGGCCCCAGGCCGCGTCCGATGCGAGCTCCGCGGTAGGGTCCCGCTCTGGCCCCCTCGCTCGGGAGATGCCCCCTGGGTCGCCTTTTGGCCGGGAGGCGGCCGGAGGGCGGGCTGCTCCGGTCGGTCGCTGACAAAGGGAGGCAGTGACCCCTAGCGGCCGGCGTGGGGGACAAGCTGCTCGGCAGGGGTGGAGTTAAGATGGGGCGGGG